TTCACACAGTAACAAACTTAAACTAAATCAAACTACGATCATCACTACAATCCTTCAAAACACAAGTTATGTCACACAAACAACATTAACAACCTGCACGACAACAACAATAACAACACAAACCGATACTACAACAAGAGTAGCACTCAYCGACAAAGACAACAGCTATAACAGCACCAACTACAACGACCACGAATACAACRGCAGCAACAGGACTTACCATAGTTTTATTGGGGAATATACAAGACGCGTTTAGATTAAAATCACAGAAAACCAGYACGGCATCGTCTGTTGTTCCATCATTTGGATCAATCCAGTATTCACCTTRAAATAAACACATACAACATTAAAGCCATATTCACTCAAAAATAMACGAGCCTTACTTGAGATGAATGACTTACCGTTTTCAAGGTCGGGCCTACCCAACTTAAGATCACGGCATGTTCTGGCAGGGTAAAGTCTGGTACCAAGAGGTCTCTTGAAAATTTGAAGTTGAATGCTAAGGGAAAGGAATGCGTCCACAGGATCGGTTTGCTGGGAACAAGAAAGCCTGACATCAATAAGAACTTTGTATAAGGTCAAAACTTACACTAGCTGTGAAATAATGATAATCAGTTTTATACTTACCCGTGTGATATCTAAAAATTCTGGATCTTTAGCGTGTGCTCCCTTTTGTTCATAAGAGAAATTCCATCAGTCAATATTCAATATTGTGTAATATCTATTTCATGTTTTTTTTTTTTTGACTCCACTCTAAGCACAATGGCGTCATTTTACAACCATTACCAGAATGCTCTGCGCATTTTCTTTGTTATACAGATTTTTAATCATTRGTGAAGCAAGTGGGACTAATTACATTACAAAAGAAATTGGGCAAAGMATTCTGGTCTTGGTAGTAAGTGACGTCATCATGCAAATTGYCTATTAGAGTAGCTATAGTTTTACCGTTACGCTTTTATACAATCGTCCTCTTTCTCTCTTTGAGGTTGATAGAGCGGGACGRCTTAATTGCTCCTGTTTTTAAAGAGAAAAATAAGAAACACTTGTGAGCTGAAAATCCTTGCTTTATTCACTGACGAAGGTAAGGGGTTAGAGACCATAATCACAAGGAACTCTGGTCTCAGTTTATAGAGGAAAGATATCGACGTTAATCWAGCAAGTGCCKATATATAGTTAGTGTTTRAAAATAATCAACACTRATAGAKCTGCGTAAGGTTACTCACCAGCGAAAAACGGGAGCTGAAAGTGGCCTACACGAAACGAAAMTGAATGTCATATATTAACGATAACAAAACCAATAAAATAAATGGAAGAAATGCAATATATAGTATACATTACCGGTATTCCAGGTGGTCCAGGAGGTCCGATATTACCCTGTAAATATACATTTACCAGGCAGACATCAGTAGAATGGACATGTACTGGACGTCCAATAAACGAAGAGGACGGGTAGTCACAGTACCAAGTATAAAGAAAGACAGACGAAGGCACGAACAGACAGACAGACAGACAGGTGATTACTGACTCGACAAAACACATCGTAACAATCCACTTAATTAACAAGACGGTATATTACCTGCTGTCCTTCTGGACCCTGCGCGGGTAAAATAAAAATAAGGTTAATTATTTTTTAAAGGCGACTAAACTACGACTTACTATGATATCTTGAATTATCATACCTGGGTTCCTCGGTCACCCTATAAAACAAAACAATTAAACTTTAGTTCTTGAAGCTATTCATCCTCAACGCATTGAAAGGATTTCCAGATCATTATTCATGCACGTCCTACCTTTTTACCTCGACTACCGAATGGTCCAGGAGGTCCCTAAAACACAGAATGAAATCTAGCTAAATAACCTTCTACAATATTGAACTATTTTGCCAGTTTTTACGAGAATCACGATAGACTATTGTTAGGTCAGTACCTGAGGTCCAATCTTTCCGCGGGATCCAATAGAACCAGGAGAACCAACAGGACCCTGATAAATTACAATTTGTTAGATTACCATGAAGACTATATTTGCGCTCGTTATTTTCAAACACGGGYATCTTTGCCTTCATTGTAAGCACAGCTGCCTGCACTCCAAGAGAAATATACTTGATTCATTTGGCATGTTTCTAATAATAAGTATTTCCATCACCATCACTATCACCTAATCATCATCATCAACAGAAAATGGATCGCGAAGGCTATAAAGACGCCATTCTTTACTCGTTGCAAAGTTGTCGACAACGACACATCGTCATAATCTCTATCATTGATTAAACTTACTCTTGCGCCAGGTCGACCTAATTCTCCTTTTTCACCGGCATCCCCCATAGGTCCCTAAAACAATGAGACATGACGCTGTTACTGTTTGTACCATGATAGGTAAGCAGCTGTCTTTTTATATCGTACCTTAATTCCCCTTATTCCACGTGGACCAACACGCCCTTCTTCACCAG